CCATAGCGGCCCAGCGTGGGCAGCGGGTTCCATGTTGTTTTACACGTTGGCATTGGCTCGATCGTGGTTTACCTCGCCGGGCACTTGCCATGCCAGCCTGCCCCTGTGCCTTCCTCCAGAAGTGTCTTTCTCCAGAAGTGCCTTTCTCGGCTCCCTTGCCTCTCAGGCCGCGCCTAACGATCGAGGACTTTGAGATCGGGCGTCCGCTGGGCAAGGGGAAATTTGGCAGTGTGTACCTGGCTCGGCTCAAGAAGAACGGCTTCATTGTGGCTCTGAAGGTGCTCTTCAAGTCACAGATCGAGAAGGAAGGGCTGGAGCATCAGCTGCGCCGGGAAATTGAAATCCAGGCCCATCTACAGTAAGGACTATGTCTGGACCAGGCTCCCACGAGAGTCTGGGCCCAGTTCCCTCCGGTTTCTACCGCCCAACCCTCTCTTATGCACGGCACTTCCGCGCAGGTCGTCCATGTCCACGGTGTGCCACACCTTTCCTCCTGATATGTGCTCACGGCACTTCCGCGCAGGTGGTCCATGTCCACAGTGTGCCACACCTTTCCTCCTGATATGTGCGCGTCCTCTTGCTCACTCCCAGTCAGGAATGTTGCTATTCTGGTCCCAGCACACTTTGTCTTCAGGGACTCTTGAGGGAAGGGGGGCGCGGTAGGGGGGTGGTCTACGTTCAGCACTGGGCTGCCAGCAGCTCCATGGTTCAAACTCGCCACTCAAGTCTGCAGGACAAAGAGAGCTAGTCTGCTCCTGTGAAGATTACAGCTTTAAAAATTCCAAAGTGGGGAGTTCTACTCCTCCTACAGGTTCACTGTAAGGTGGGCATCGACTAGATGGCAACAGGCTTGGTTTGGGTGTTTTACAGCCAGTCATTTGGGGCAGCATCATGGGTTTAGTCCCAGAGAGGACCCTGACCAGTCTCCATCCCTCCTCTAGACACCCCAATATCCTGCGCCTCTACAACTATTTCCACGACGCTCGGAGGGTGTACCTGATTCTGGAATATGCCCCGAGGGGCGAGCTCTACAAGGAGCTGAAACACAGATGCAGATTCGACGAGCAGCGCACAGCCACGGTCAGCAGGTGGTGCTGACGGAGGAGAAGGGCTCTAAGGTCCACGGGGGTGGTTGGCTTTTGAGCCACCAAAGCTTATGAGTGGCCTCTCATTTTCTCACAAGATAATGGAGGAGCTGGCAGATGCCCTGATATACTGCCACGAGAAGAAGGTGATTCACAGGGATATTAAGCCAGAGAACCTGCTGCTGGGCCTCAGGGGTGAGGTAAAGATCGCAGACTTTGGCTGGTCTGTGCACACGCCCTCTCTAAGGTAGGTGGGTGTGGAGCCTGGTTTAGAATGATCTGATTTTAAAAACTCGTTTAATTGGGGGCTTGTACTGCTCTCATTCACAATCCATCCATCCATCCATCCATCCATCCATCCATCCATCCAT